AAGAAAGGAATATTTCATTGGCAACACAACCTGTCTTTCATTTTCTTTCTTTCATTCTATTTTTCATTCTTTCTTTCATTCTCTTTCTTTCATTCTATTTTTCATTCTTTCTTTCTCTTTCTTTGATTCTAATTTTTCATTCTTTCTTTCATTCTCTCACTTTCATTCTATTTTTCATTTTTCTTTCATTTTCTTTCTTTCATTCTATTTTTCATTCTTTCATTCATTCTCTTTCTTTCATCCTATTTTTCATTCTTTCTTTCAGTCTCTTTCTTTCATTCTATTTTTCATTCTTTCTTTCTCTTTCTTTTATTCTATTTTTCATTCTTTCTTTCGTTCTCTTTCTTTCAGTCTCTTTCTTTCATTCTATTTTTCATTCTTTCTTTCATTCTCTTTCTTTGAATCTATTTTTCATTCTTTCATTTATTCTCTTTCTTTCATTCTATTTTTCATTCTTTCTTTCTCTTTCTTTGATTCTATTTTTTCATTCTTTCTTTTATTCTCTTTTTTCATTCTATTTTTCATTTATTTTCTTTCTTTCATTCTATTTTTCATTTTTTCTTTCATTTTTTCTTTCAGTTCTTTTTTTTCTTTCTTTTTTTTCATTCTTTTTTCATTCTATTTTTCATTTTCATTCATTCTTTCTTTCTTTCATTCTTTTTTTCATTTTTTTTTCATTTTTCTTTCTTTCATTTTTTTCATTCTATTTTTCATTCTTTCATTCTCTTTCTTTCATTCGATTTTTATTCTTTCTTTCATTCTCTTTCTTTCATTCTATTTTCATTCTTTCATTCTCTTTCTTTCATTCTATTTTTTATTCTTTCTTTCATTCTCCATCTTTCATTCTATTTTTCATTCTTTCTTTCATTCTCTTTCTTTCATTCTATTTTTTATTCTTTCTTTCATTCTCTTTCTTTTATTCGATTTTTATTCTTTCTTTCATTCTCTTTCTTTCATTCTATTTTTCATTCTTTCATTCTATTTTTCATTCTTTCTTTCATTCTCTTTCTTTCATTCTATTTTTCATTCTTTCTTTCATTCTCTTACTTTGATTCTATTTTTCATTCTTTCTTTCATTTTCTTTCCTTCATTCTATTTTTCATTCTTTCTTTCATTCTATTTTTCATTCTTACTTTCATTCTCTTTCTTTCATTCTATTTTTCAATCTTTCTTTTTCTTTCTTTCATTCTATTTTTCATTCTTTCTTTCATTCTATTTTTCAATCTTTCTTTTTCTTTCTTTCATTCTATTTTTCATTCTTTCTTTCATTCTATTTTTCATTCTTTCTTTCATTCTATTTTTCATTCTTTCTTTCATTCCCTTACTTTCATTCTATTTTTCATTCTTTCTTTCATTCTCTTACTTTCATTTCTATTTTTCATTCTTTCTTTCATTCTCTGAGCTACTGAGCTGCTACATGGCATCTGTTTTCCTATATACGGTTCCGTATAGGATACAGGTTGCACTCCTGTTGGAAGACGCATATTTTCTATTAAAATTTGTCGGACATTCAGGCCGGTAAATTTTGCTAATAATAAACGGAGTATTTACTTAAATATTTTTTTATCTATAAAAAAACGTATGAACATAAAAAATGTCGTAAATAATTGTCGGACTTTTTTCATTTCGTAATTAATGACAGAATATGATCAGTTATACACCAGGAACAAAGGAAAGAAGGAAAACTATATTGAACGGGACACGATAAAGTGATATTTATGGTGCAATGGAGCATCTCATTGTGCTAAAGTGGGATAGTCCATTGCTTGGGCTGTGATTGGCTGCTGGTACATGAGTGGAGATATTTCTGTATAAATACCAGCTTGATTCATCAGTTAGCTTGCAGTGTTTGTATTGAGTTACAACCTGCTTTATTTTTGTCTGCCAGCTGGACGCTAGCTGGGACCCTTACGTCTGTAAGTGCTGTTTATTGTATTGTTATTCTACAGAGATGTGAGGGGACGTGTTGGCATTCTGTCCTCAATGATTGTCAAAAAACCTCAAGTAGAAACATATAAATGCATGAAATAGGAAATTCCAGGTGCTGTAAGATTGGATGTGCGGGTGGTGTAATGGATAATGGCTCAGAATAGTTAATTAGAGAGTTCCAATTCTCATTGGATTCGTTATATCCATTTAGCCCAAATACTCTTTGGAAATTTTTAATCTACCTTTTATCCCCTAACTATGAATTAATTAGTAAGATTTGTATCATTAAACTATTATTTGTTTAAAAAAAAAAAAAACTATATTTAAAATCTAAAATATATTCTGGTTGTAAATAACCTAATAATCCGATAGAATCAAACAGATACTAAAAGTCAAACAGAAAGAGAGAGGGGGCAATATAAAGAGAAAACACAGGTGTGTAACACAGAGAGGGAATGGAGTAAGAGGAGGAGGAGGGGTCATCTTAGATGAAGGCAATTGTTTGTAATGAGCGGTCTAATCATTTTTCGTCAGCTTACGATCTGTTGCGGGCAATTTCACACCTGAACTGGAATTGGCCTTTTGAAATTATAATCGTTCTTTAATTACCAAAAGCATTTTGCTATATAATTTAAACAGAGTATATTATTGTAATCAAACACATTGTTCAACCCAGACTGTATTGAGTGTCCGAGAGAGAAACAAAAAAATGGAGTGAGAGAGAGAGAGAGAGAGAGAGGGAGAGGGAGAGGGAGAGAGAGGGAGATAGAGACGGAGAGAGCGAGAGATAGATACATAGATAGATAGAGAGATACACACACAGACATATATAGTAGGTTGGTGCAAAAATAATGACGTAATAATGTCGTTTTTGACGTATTTTTAAGGTCAAAAACGATTATTACGTTATTATTTTTGCACCAACCCTATATATATATATATATATATATATATATATATATATATATATATATATATATATGTATGAAAATATATAGAAAATAGGAAAAAGAACTGGTTAGGTAAATAATCCAAAGTTACTTAGTATTTTAGTTATTATTTTTAAAACATAGTGCTCGATACAAAAGTAGAGCATAAAAATATAATTATTTATTTAAATCATAATTGGAATCATATTTTTAAATAAATAATTATATATATATATATATATATATATATATATATATATATATATACAGAGAGAGAGAGAGAGAGACAGGGAGAGAGAGACGTAGAGCGACGAAAAGAGAGGCATTGGAGGGGGGGGTAACCTTATGAAATTTGTAGTGAGGTATGAAAACTCTTTCCTGACCTAACGATCTGTTGAGTGCAAATACGCCCCACAACTGCAAAATTAAAAGAGAAAGAGAAGACATAGATATGGGGAAGGAGAAAGAGAGCCGGGACATAGCGGGAGAGAGAGAGAGGGGACAGAGAGGGAGAGAGAGAGGGGACAGAGAGGGAGAGAGAGAGGGGACATAGAGGGAGAGAGAGAGTGGACATAGAAGGAGAGAGAAGAGACATATAGGGAGGGAGGGGGAGAGGGGGTATAGGGTGAAAGAGAGAGGGAGCATATGAGGAGGGAGGGAAAAGGACGGAATGTAGAGGGATACATAGGGATAGGGAGGGAGGTAGAGAGATGACATATAAGGAGGGAGACAGGGATATATAGGGAGGGATGGAGAGAGAGTGAGAGATGGTGTGTGTGTGTGTGTGTGTGTGTGTGTGTGTGTGTTAAACTTAGATAAAGGAATTTATTTGTAGACACGTGTTACAATTGCAAGTTACCTTTCGAAATTAAAGTTATTCTTTTTTTTTAATCAGCTTTCCAGTAATTTATAGCATGCTAAAGGAACCCCGACTCTGTAGAACGTCCGAAAGGAAAACAGAGAGAGAGAGAGAGAGAGAGAGAGAGAGAGAGAGAGAGGGAGAGGGTGTGTGGGTGGGGGGGCGGTCATCATAGATAAAGGCATTTGTAAGCAAATATATGGATATAGATCCGACAGTATGAAGAAAAATATACTGAAAATATACAACGTCGCCCACGTGACGACGACGTGATCATATTGAAACGGAACGCTTATCTTATAAAAGTTACCTGTTTGGATTGGTATTGCTTTTATGTCCATCGTGTTTTTCATGTTAAATTGTATATGGTCTATGTTAATTATGTTTTATGAATATGTCCTGAAGATGGTCTATTAGACCGAAACGTCCGACGTTGACATTATATTAACATTAAAACAGCATAATTGCATATTAGCATTTTTGTTTGTTTTTTCAGTATATTTTTCTTCATAAAGGCATTTGTTTGCAGTGTGGTATTAAATCATATTTCGTTACCGAACGCCCTGTTGAGGGCAAACACGCCCCGAAACTTAAAAGTGAAGTTCCGAAATTAAAATCATTTTTTAAAAATCACCCATTTGTAACATGCTAAGGGAAACAAGACTGATTTGAACGCCCGAATCGGAAACAAAGGGAGAGAGGGAGGAAGGGAGGGAGAGAGTGTATCTTATATAAAGGCAGTTGTTCGGAAACAAAGGGAGAGAGTGAGGAAGGGAGGGAGAGAGTGTATCTTATATAAAGGCAGTTGTTCGGAAACAAAGGGAGAGAGAGTGGGAAAGGGGGGGAGAGAGTGTATCTTATGTAAAGGCAGTTGTTTGTAGTGAGGGGTTAAATCATAATTCATGACGTAATGATCTGTTGAGGACGTTTCGGTGTTTCTAAATTAAAGATAAAAAAAGAAAAAAGAAAAAAGAAAACAAGCAATCTCTGTAACAAAGAAATTAGTCGTTTTCAAAATTTATCTTCACCTGGGTACAAATCATTGAACCAACCGACAGCGAGATTCTTCTGAGAGATGCTTCCGTTGGCTCGTGAAAAGAAAGTTTTCAACGTTTGTTTCGTCCAGAAAGGAAATCCTAACAAAACCGAATGAGTAAGTCATTTATCTCAATCATTCTATGAAAAAGCCAGAAGAGTTTCTGTCGGCAACATGGCGACCTTTTACGTTCCAATAATTACGCGGCAATATAAACAAACACCATCTGCTGCGCAAAAGTTTAAGTTTATTTTAGTGAATAATATATTTCAGGAGGCAGGGCGATTGGATTAACGGAAAAGGAAGAATGAAAAAATAAAATGAAAGAAAGAGAATAAAAAAGAATGAAAAATAGAATGAAAGATGGAGAATGAAAGAAAAAATGAAAAATAGAATGAAAGAAGGAGAATGAAAGAAAGAATGAAAAATAGAATGAAAGAAAGAGAATGATAGGAAGAATGAAAAATAGAATTAAAAAAGAAAATGAAAAAAGAATGAAAAATAGAAAAAAAAAAAGAGAATGAAAAGAAAGAATGAAAAATAGAATGAAAAAGAATGAAAGAAAGGATGAAAAAAATAGAATGAAAGAAAGAAAAAAGAAAGAATGAAAAATAGAATGAAAAGAAAGAGAATGATAGAAGAATGAAAAAATAATGAAAAAAGAAAATGAAAAAGAATGAAAAAATAGAATGAAAAAAAAGAAAAATAGAAAGAATGAAAAAAGAATGAAAAAGATGGAGAATGAAAGAAAAGATGAAAAATAGAATGAAAAGGAAGAAAGAAAGGATGAAAAAATAGAATGAAAAAAAATGATAGGAAGAATGAAAAAAAGAATGAAAAACGAAAATGAAAAAAGAATGAAAAATAGAATGAAAAAAAAGAAATGATAGAAAAAGAATGAAAATAGAATGAAAGATGGAGAATGAAAAAAAAATGAAAAATAGAATGAAAGATGGAGAATGAAAGAAAGGATGAAAAATAGAATGAAAGAAAGAGAATGAAAGAAAGAATGAAAAATAGAATGAAAGAAAGAGAATGATAGGAAGAATGAAAAATAGAATGAAAAAAGAAAATGAAAGAAAGAATGAAAAATAGAATGAAAAAAAGAGAATGATAGAAAGAATGAAAAATAGAATGAAAGATGGAGAATGAAAGAAAGGATGAAAAATAGAATGAAAGAAAGAGAATGAAAGAAAGGATGAAAAATAGAATGAAAGAATTGAATGATAGGAAGAATGAAAAATAGAATGAAAAAAGAAAATGAAAGAAAGAATGAAAAATAGAATGAAAAAAAGAGAATGATAGAAAGAATGAAAAATTGAATGAAAGATGGAGAATGAAAGAAAAAATGAAAAATAGAATGAAAGATGGAGAATGAAAGAAAGGATGAAAAATAGAATGAAAGAAAGAGAATGAATGAGGGAATGAAAAACAGAATGAAAGAAAGAGGATGAAAGAAAGAATGAAAAAAAGAATGAATGAAAGAGAAATTAAGGAAACAGGAACGAGACAGAAAAACGAGAAGGAAAGAAAGAAGAATATTAAGGGAGAAAAATAAGAGAGGTTTTTCCGACGACATGAATTTAAGCGTGCTACTAGATTGGCTTCTTGGCCCCACCCTTTTACTGTTGAAATGGTTAAATGCAACCGCCACTTCTACTCCAACAGTTTATTTTCTTGCACTTCCGGCCTTTGGAACTTCCTTCCGTTTACTTGCTTCCCCGATAAAATACAATTCTCAAAAATTTAAATTCAACATCAATCGCCATCTATCTTTTTGAATCCCGTTCATCTTTTGCCCTTTTTTTTAATACTCTTTATACTTACTCTTTTCTCTGACATTCACTTTCACCCAGTGTGACCCACTGGGTACTAATGCCATTACGTACCCCTTGCCTGGAGTAAAATGATTAAAAAAAAAAATGAAGAAAGAAAACAAAACCTGTAAATGATGTAAATAATGATAGACTTTACAAAAATTTAAATTCAAAATCAATCGACATCTGTTTTTTTGACTTCCTTCGTCTGTTGTCCTCTTTTCAATCATCTCTGTCCTCAGTCTTCTCTTTCTAATTTGAAACTTTAATCTCCTGGCTACTAATGCCATTCGCGCCTTGCTTGGGGTGAAATGATAAAAAAAAAAGAAAAAAAAAATGAGTGAGAAAAAGATACCGTGAAAAGCAGAAAGATAGAAGACAAATAGAGAGAAAAAACGGTGACTAGATCGACCGCTAAGAGAGAAGAGAGAGAAAGGATAGTAACTGTCTATCAATGGATAGCGAGTTAATTAGGGAGAGATAAATTAAAAGAAAGAGAGAAAAGGGGAGATAAAAAAAGGAAAAGAAAGATTGTGTTTGTGAGAGAGAGAGAGACAGAGAGATTCCGTTTAAAAAAAAATGAGAGAGAGAGATAGATAGAGAGAGAGAGAGAGAGGTAGCGAGTAAAAACAGACAGAGAGAATCGTTTTGAATGCAGTCGAGAGAAAATAGAAGAGGAAAAGAAAACATGTTTAGAATCGGGGAAAGAAAGAAAGCCAGAAAAAGATAGATAGATAGATAGAGAGAGAGAGAGAGAGAGAGAGAGAGGGGGTGGAGAGAGAGAATGGTGAAAATAAACTATTAAGGAATAAATATATCTAAACAGAGCTTGATAACAAAAGATATCACACAGGGATGAACTGCCGATACCAAACCACCTCGCATATCCACTGTAATTCGTGTTAGTTAACATTGCTAAATCTAGAAATTGGTAGGCTGATTCCGTTTTGCCAGAAAGGATATGAATACAAATGTAAGTTTATTTAAACATTATGCCTAAAAGAATATAAACCGTTACTTTTTCAGCAATTTCAGACCAAACGCAAGACAACATTTAGTTGCAAGAAAATATTTATAAGTTCTTCCTCCATCAGTATCTGTCTATATTTCTGATATGAGGTATTATGTACATTATTCGGACTATTTTCCTCATTTTGTCACCATATTTATCACAACGTTTCGGACCTTCAGTGTCTGTCTATATTTCTGAGATGAGGTAATATGTACACTATTTACATGATTCGGACAATTGTCCTCATCTTTGTCGCCATATTTACTACACCGTTTCGGCCTTCCAGCATTTGCCTATATTTAAAAAAATGAGATATTATGTACACTATTTACATTATTCAGACTATTGACCTCATCTTTGTCGCCATGTTTATCACAACGTTTCGGCCTTTCAGTGTCTGTCTATATTTCTGAGATGAGGTATTATGTACACTATTTACACTATTCGGACTGTTGTCGTCATCGTTGCCGCCATATTTATTACAAAGTTTCGGCTTTTCAGTATCTGTCTATATTTCGGAGATGAGGTATTATGTACATTATTGACATTATTCGGACTATTGTCTTCATCTTTGTCGCCATATTTATTACAACGTTTCGGCCTTTCAGTATCTGTCTATATTTCTTAGATGAGGTATTATGTACACTATTTACATTATTCGGACTATTGTCCTCATCTTTGTCGCCATATTTATTACAACGTTTCGGCCTTTCAGTATCTGTCTATATTTCTGAGATGAGGTATTATGTACACTATTTACATTATTCGGACTATTGTCTTCATCTTTGTCGCCATATTTATTACAACGTTTCGGCCTTTCAGTATCTGTCTATATTTCTTAGATGAGGTATTATGTACACTATTTACATTATTCGGACTGTTGTCCTCATCTTTGTCGCCATATTTATTACAACGTTTCGGCCTTTCAGTATCTGTCTATATTTCTGAGATGAGGTATTATGTACACTATTTACATTATTCGGACTATTGTCCTCATCTTTGTCACCATATTTATTACAACGTTTCGGCCTTTCAGTATCTGTCTATATTTCTGAGATGAGGTATTATGTACACTATTTACATTATTCGGACTATTGTCTTCATCTTTGTCGCCATATTTATTACAACGATAGATAGCCTTTCAGTATCTGTCTATATTTCTTAGATGAGAAATTATGTAAACTATTTACATTATTCGGACTATTATCCAGATCTTTGTCGCCATATTTATCACAACGTTGAACTGCCTTTCAAACCATCTGTCTATATTTCTGAGATGAGGTAACATTGCTAAATCTTTAAATTATTCGGACTATTCCGTTCTTTGTCAGAAATATTTGAATACAACGTTTAAGCCTTTCAGTTAAACATATATTTCTTAGATGAATATAAAACCGTTTTACTTTATTCAGCAATTTCATTCGGACTGTTGTCCTATATTTTTGTTTATGTTCCATAATATTCGGACTACCTCCCTCATTATAACGTTTCCTCCTTTCAGTATCTGTCTATATTTCTGAGATGAGGTATTATGTACACTATTTACATTATTCGGACTATTGTCCTCATCTTTGTCGCCATATTTATTACAACGTTTCGGCCCTTCAGTGTCTGTCTATATTTCTGAGATGAGGTATTATGTACACTATTTACATTATTCGGACTATTGTCCTCATCTTTGTCGCCATATTTATTACAACGTTTCGGCCTTTCAGTATCTGTCTATATTTAAAATGAGGTATTATGTACACTATTTACATTATTCGGACTATTGTCTTCATCTTTGTCGCCATATTTATTACAACGTTTCGGCCTTTCAGTATCTGTCTATATTTCTGAGATGAGGTATTATGTACACTATTTACATTATTCGGACTATTGTCCATCTTTGTCGCCATATTTATTACAACGTCTCGGCCTTTCAGTATCTGTCTATATTTCGGAGATGAGGTATTATATTCACTATTTTACATTATTCGGACTACTGTCCTCATCTTTGTCGCCATATTTATTACAACGTTTCGGCCTTTCAGTATCTGTCTATATTTCTGAGATGAGGTATTATGTACACTATTTACATTATTCGGACTATTGTTCTCATCTTTGTCGCCATATTTATTACAACGTTTCGGCCTTTCAGTGTCTGTCTATATTTCTTAGATGAGGTATTATGTACACTATTTACATTATTCGGACTGTTGTCCTCATCTTTGTCGCCATATTTATTACAACGTTTCGGCCTTTCAGTATCTGTCTATATTTCTGAGATGAGGTATTATGTACACTATTTACATTATTCGGACTATTGTCTTCATCTTTGTCGCCATATTTATTACAAAGTTTCGGCCTTTTAGTATCTGTCTATATTTCTGATATGATGTATTATGTTCACTATTTACATTATTCGGACTACTGTCCTCATCTTTGTTGCCATATTTATTACAATGTTTCGGACCTTCAGTATCTGTCTATATTTCTGAGATGAGGTATTATGTACATTATTGACATTATTCGGACTATTGTCCTCATCTTTGTCGCCATATTTATTACAACGTCTCGGCCTTTCAGTATCTGTCTATATTTCGGAGATGAGGTATTATGTTCACTATTTACATTATTCGGACTACTGTCCTCATCTTTGTCGCCATATTTATTACAATGTTTCGGCCTTTCAGTATCTGTCTATATTTCTGAGATGAGGTATTATGTACACTTATTTACATTATTCCTCATCTTTGTCGCTATTGTCCTCATCTTTGTCGTCATATTTATTACAACGTTTCGGCCTTTCAGTATCTGACTAATTTTTCGAGATGAGGAATTATGTACACTATTTACATTATTCAGACTATTGTCCTCATCATTGTCGCCATATTTATTACAACGTTTCGGCCGTTGTACGCTCCGGCCTTCTTCAGGTGAATGGAATGTCGAACTGAACCCTTTATTTTGCTCACTGGGTTACCTTTTCTAGTTTCACGTGCCATGTCTAATGAATGATATTTATCAGTTATCTCCTGTTAATTCCGCTCTGCAAGTTCTCCACCGCCTTAACTAAGTATTGAACTCACATTCTTTGGTCTCTGACACTGTTTTTACCTGGGTTTTGTCACTGGATCTAACTATTTACATTAACTTCCTATAACCAATGTCCTCATCTTTGTATGCCATCATTGGATCTAACTAATGTTGGATCCTACCTTCCAGTATCTGTCTATACATCTGTCTGATGAATCTCTGGGTATTATAAACCTAATGTTTTCAGCAACTTTTTTTAGCAGTGCTCATATTGCAACTTTTCTGTTGTTGCATTTTTTTTACCAGATCTCATTTTTCAATTTTCGTTGTTAGTATCGTTTTTCTGAGATGAGGTATTACTGGTTTCCATATTGTATTCATTTCTATGCTTGGTCGGCTCATCTTTTGCGCCTTATATGTGCTAATTCCAACGTTACGGCCTTTCAATGGTGTTCTTTGTCTATGATGTCAACCTGATCTCCCTTTTCTCTCCATATGTCATCATCCACGCCTGATTTTTCCACTTTCCCTCGTGTTACAGCTTTCTGGTGTTCTTGAAGCCTTACGTTAGTGTAAATAGTCGAGGAAAAAAGAGAGATGGAAAGAAACTGGGAAAATGAGATAGAGAGAGAGGAAAAAAGAAAAGGAAAGAGAAAAAACATTCAAATAAAGGAAAGACAGAAAAGAAAAGGCAGACAATAAAAAAAAAATTAGTTGAAATAAATGACGACA